GGGCCACTGAATTGAAATCAGTGAAATTTTCACAGATTCAGATTTAGAGTGTACCATAGACTCAAATCTTTGGTACTTAAGGGATTAAAATAAATAAAAAGAAGTTAAAACGAAAGATGAGTGAGGTGAAAAGGCAATTGATAGGAAATATCAATTTTGTTTATATTAAACTATAGAAACAGATAAGAATGTCTATATCCGTTTGGTTTCTTTGCAAAATGCGAGACATAATCTCTTATTGATCTGTTTCTTTGGGAGAATAAAAAGGGAGAGAAAGAGGACTTTTATAAAAGCAATTCCCTCGCTTCATGGAATATTTTTCCAAGTTTCTAGATGCAATTGCACTTAAGGTTCAATATCACTATTCGTTGGGATTACATGTACATGTGTATACATATATATATATTGGGGGAGAGCATTGGCCGCGCGCGACTACGTTGAATGTATATTACAGACGACAAAAGCTGCACACCTCCTCCTTCATAAATTCAACTCTAACACACTCGCCAGTTCTCGAATTACACGTTCAGTCGAAACCGAGGTCGAAACAACTCTGCGATTTCCTGCACGAAGGGAAAACAAAGTCCTATATTATATACCTAAGTCTATTCCGTTTGGTGTACATAATACAACAACGAGTTTAATATGCGGCGACACTCGAATTATATCTCGTCTTTCTATTTTTTTATTTATTCATTTTATTTATTTAGCTATTTACAGGTCTGGGATCGACTTTATGGCAAAAAAAAGTCGCTGTAGTCGATAACAATAATACGAAAAAAAAGTCGAAAAATAATTTAAATTTAATAAACTCTTTAAAAAATAATTAAAATTTGGTAAAATCTTTAAACAAAATAATTGAAATTTGATACAATTTTTGAAAAATAATTGAAATTTAAGAAAATCTCTTAAACATAATTGAAATTTGATACAATCTTTAAATAAAATAATTGAAATTTGGTTAACTCTTTAAAAAAATAATTGAAATTTTGATAAAATCTTTAAAAAAATAATTGGAATTTGAAGAAATCTTTTACAACTAATTGAAATCTGATACAATATTTAAAAAATAATTGAAATTTGATAAAATCATTTTAAAATAATTGAAATTTTGATAAAATCTTTAAAAAAATAATTCAAATTTGTTAAAATCTTTAAACAAAATAATTGAAATTTGAAGAAATCTTTTACAAATAATTAAAATTTGACGAAATCTTTTATACAAATAATTGGAATTTGAAGAAATATTTTACAAATAATTGAAATTTGATACAATGTTTGAAAAATGATTGAAATTTGATAAAATATTTTTAAAATAATTCAAATTTGGTACAATCTTTAAAAAATAATAGAAATTTGAAGAAATCTTTTTTACAAATAATTGAAATTTGAAGAAATCTTTTACAAATAATTAAAATTTGATACAATATTTTAAAAATAACTATTTTAATAAAATTTTTTAGAAATAATTAGGTACAATTTGATCAAATCTTTTAAATATAAGTAAAATTTGGTTAAGCTTTGACAAAATAATTGAATTTTGTTAATATTTTTTCAAAATAATTGATATTTGATAAAATCTTTAAAAAATAAATGATATTTGATAATATTTTTTAAAAATAATTGAATTTTGATAAAAAAATTTGTAAAATAATTGAATTTTTAAAAAATATTTGTATAATTTAAAAAAAACTAATTAATTTGTGGATTTTAATTAAAAATTTAAGACAATATTTTTCTGTTCAAAATGTTAAAAATAATTGCAAAAAATTTTAATGTTTGTATTTATTTTTGTACTTGAAATGATCCCCAAGTTTTGAACGTTCAAATGAACAAAATATTTTTTATTGAAGATATTTTTATAAATTACTAATCACAAAAAATTTAAAAACTGAAATATTTACGGTTAAAAACTCAGTTATTAATTTTTTGGATAGTGACGCAAAATAATTGCAATAAAAATTTAATTTGTAGAAGAAATAAATAAATTTCGTTCATTTGAACGTTCAGAACTTTAGGATCTTTACTTGAATACAAAAATTCGTATTTGAATTTTGGAAAATTTGTAATTGAAAATATTGAAAATGATTGAATTTAAAATATTTACGATAAATTTCGCGTCGATTCTCAGTGTCAATTAATTAAAAATTAATTTTTTACGTCCTTTGGCATGGCGGTTAGCCGTCAACGCTAAACTCAAAGACTTATTTATATTTAATAGAAATTATTTGAAATTACGATATGGCATTTTCCAAATGAAACGCTTAATTTATTCCCCCAGAGTGCACATATTGTTTGCTTTAGTGTTATATAATTAAGGGCGGTAAATGAGAAAAGCGAATGATTAAAGCCTATGCTTAACAGTTTGGACGTTCAAAGCCGATCAAAGTGCAGTCGAGAAAGCTTCGCGTATTAACTGCACCTCGATATTTCGGTAGTACATATATACATATATATATATATCGTTGCATATGCGTCAATTCATCGACGCAATTAATTTAACTGCAACGCGACGTAATGGATAAGAGCAGGCTACGTTTACATGTATATATAGATATAACACATAGTAATACGCTTTATTCGTCTCCCTCGCCAATGGGAACTGATATGCTTCCCGATATTTACGTTGAAACACCAAAATTCGAAAATAAAGCACCTCTATTGTCTCTTTAAATCACAGACTATTTAAACTTCCAATTTCAATAAAATACGAACAGTATTTCAGTTTTTTTTATTTTGTTCGTCTATTTGAATTTGAATTTCGCGCCATTTTGACTCTGGAAGTTGCCGTCCAGATGGCATGAAAGTTCTCTCACCAGTGGTAATTTAATGAATTGATTAATGAATTAATGAAGTGGTAATTAATTACCACTTGAGAGAGAACTTTCATGCCATCTGGACGGCAACTTCCAGAGTCAAAATGGCGCGAAATTCAAATTCAAATAGGAGAACGAAATAAAAAGCTAAATGTGTAATGATAATAATTCATAATAATCAAAAATAATAATTAACTTTGAATAACAAACGAATAATACTTCATATAATTAATTGCTAATAAATAATAATTTATTTATTAGCTAATAAATAATAGCTTAGTTAATCTAAATAATAATAATTAAAATCTTGAGTGAATATTGATACGGTTTGTTAAATTGAAAAAACTTTATTTTGAGCCTTGACCTCAGGCGCGGTAATTTTATGAGCCTTGAAAATATCCCACTGGAGAATCAATTTGAGGGAAAAAAAAGGAGGAATGAAATAATAATTTTCTAAAAGTGACGTGCGTAATTGTTTGAGAATTGTTAACTCTTGCGGTGTACGCGTGCAACTATTAATCGATATATCGACGATTGAGGGACATCAAAGACTTTATCAGTGGCTGGTTTATGGCGCAAGTATACATTGCAATCAAGCCAGGCATTACGATGCGCATTGTCCTTCGGGCAATCAGAGGTTTGCGCGTTTTACTGCGTGCACACATCAAGTGTAAACATATGCTATTGCCGGCTGCATGATTGTTTTACATATATGTGCGTAAAATATGTACATGTGCGAATAATATGTGTATATGTGCGTAAAATCTATGTACATGTGACACTCGCCACGCTGAAAGGGATCCTATCTTCTATAAATAACATTAGGCGAAGTCTTCCGTGCTGCATGATTGTTTTGCATATGTGTCTATGTGCGTATAATATGCATATGTGCATAATGTATATGTGCGTTAAATATGTATATGCGCATAATGTATATGTGCGTAAAATATGTATATGTGCATAAAATATGTATATGTGTTTAATATACATTTGTGTACAATATGTATAAGTTTATACTACACATGTGCGTATAATGTGTATATGTGTAATGTTTATGCGCGCAAAATATGCATATGTGACGCTCCACGGTGGAAGAGACCTAACATTAGGCGCAGTTTTCGGGCCCAGTATGCGAATACTGTGCCTAATGTTATTTGGAAGATAGGTCACTTTCACCGAGGAGGGTCACATGTGTGTAAAATATGTATATGTGTATAATATATATATGCAAAATATACATATATGTATAATATGAATATGTGTATAATATATATGTGCATAATACACATGTGTCTATAAAATGTATATGTGTATGATATATATGTGCATAATATGTACATGTGTTATGTGCATAATACACATATGTGAATAATATGTACATGTGTTATGTGCTTATTACATATATGTGAATAATATGCACATGTGTATGATATATATGTGCATAATACACATATGCGAATAATATGTACATGTGTAAGATATATATGTGCATAATACACATGTGAATAAGGTACACATATAAATGTGTGTGTATAAAATAAGTCGCACATATGCAAGTCCACATTAGTCCACGAGTGTATGTTTGCGAAAGAGAGAGAGAGAGAGCGAGAGGGGGGGGGAGAGGGCACATTTCCATATTCTCGAAACGTTTCTCTGTTTATGTGTGTGCACATACGCGAACAGCTTAATTATGCAAAGTCTTTCATCTTTCCATCGGTTAATTGCAGTATACAACAACGATTCTCGCATCAACGCGAATCGCTTTGCGAGTCCAAAATTAATTTATACTTAGGTGAACATCGAACAGAATGTTCCAATTGTGAAGCATAATCAACATTTCAAAGAGCGCTCTCTTTTTCCTTCAGGTCATTCCGCATTTCCTCTCAACTACTAAACTTGCGCTCATAGAGTTGCTTAGATTCATTTTCTTCTAAGTTTAAATTTTTAATTGATTTCCTATTGCGAATCATTTTTAAATCTTTATTTATTTGTCAACAATAATAATAATAAACCAAACAACCGAAACAAAAAATACAATAATAATAATAATTACGAAATAAAATTATATTTGAATTTCGCGCCATTATAACTCTGTGAGTTGACGTTCAGATGGCATGAAAGTTCTCTCACAAGTGGTAATTATAACTCTTGAAATAATAATGAATTTTTTTTTTGTTTTTTCAGTGTGGAAAGGGACCGGCTCCGTGAGCGGGAACGACAAGCCCGCGCGGCGATGTCGGTCCAGGCGGAGCAGGCAGCAGCTGGAGGTGCTCCTGATGCACGGCACGGTCATCATCACGGTCATCACAATCATGGTCATCATGCTGATTCGCACGCAGCTACTGCTTCTCTCTTCCGTGCTCCTGTCAAGGTAGGACTGTCATTTACTCTTCACTTTAGTGTCTTCAATTAGGCGAAACTTTTTTTTTTCTATCATGCGAACTTGGCATATTTTTATTTATATTTTTATTTTTCTTTACTAACATTGAATAATGATATAATAATAATAATTAATAAATAAATACAACAAAATAATTATTATTTTATTATTTTTTATTATTGTTCATTAATAATTATTTATAATTTTTTTTTAATTTATTAAAATAATTATTTTTATATTACTTTTAAATATTTTCCATTTATTTTATTTATTTACTGTAATAATGATAGAATAATAATTGAATTAGTTTTTTTTATTTTTTCTTTATTAAAATTATTTCTTCTTTTTTCCTCACTAAATTTCAATTAATTTTTCATTGCAAGAATGGTTTTATATTTAACCCCCTTAATAAATAGAAAACTAAAATAAAGAAAATAGAATAAACAAAATAAATAAAATAGTAGAATAAAAAGAAATGAAAAAGTAGAAAAGAATAAATAACAAAGTAGAATAATCAAAATAAATTAACAAAATAGAATGAAATATCAAAAGTGAAGTAAATAAAATAAGAAATAATTCCTTATTTATTATTTCTGATTTTTTATTCAATATTGTTTATTTATTTTGATTTTTGTAATTTTTTTGTTTATTATCTTTATTTTATTTTATTTATTTTGCTTATTCTACTATTTTCTCTATTTTGTTTATTCTATTATTGCATTTATTTTGTTCCTTTTATTTTTTATTTATTTTGTTTATTCTACTATTTGATCTATTGAGGCTTCGATTTATTTTATTTCTTTATTTTATTTATTCTGTTTTCTTATTTATTTTGTTTTTTCTATCATCTATGCAACTTTTACATACTTTATTCGAACAAAATTCATTTACACTCTGTATGGTATGTATGTGAAATGAAAAAAAATTCTTTTCTCGTTCCAAAAATTTATTTCGTATTGATTTGAAGAACTGAATAAAAATTTTAATGGCCAAAGATTCTTCAAATCATTAAAACTACGTATTCTAAATGTTGCATTTTTTCACAATTTTTTTTTTTTTGAAAGAGGAGAAATGGAAAGAATTTGCTTCCGATGAAATAAATGTACTTCGCTCTACTGATAACATCTGCTTCACCGGAAACTAAAAATTTTCACATCCCAGTTTCTCCTTTTACAAATATTGATTTTAAATATTACGTGTTTATAGGTTTTTAAACGCTCAAATGAGTGAAATTTTTTTATATAGACTTTAATTTTCAATTTTACCTTTCACTACACTTGTCTGTACATATTATACGCACGTGAAAAAAATGTGTTTAAACAACTTCATATATTCATTCAATTTTAGTAGAGTTTTAAATTGCCAGAGTGCGTATGAAAATACATATTTGTGCTTTTTATTTGAATTTTGTTTTTTTTAAATATTTTCATTCGGGGAAATTTTTATTTTTATTTCAGTGTGTATTGTATTTTAATGCGTTGCAAATGTGATTTTATTTCGATTTGAAATCTTTTTTTTTTTACAAATCTCTTCTTTGTTTTTCTTCTTGTTCTTTTTCTTAAATTCTTGTATATTTAAAAAAATACAAATATTTTTTTAATTAAATTAAAAAAATTAATTATTTACACTAGTTAATAAATTTATTTATTGTAATTTTTTTCGACATTAGAACCTCAAAAAAATTGTGTTATTTTATTATATTAACCAGCAGAAAATAAAAATATTCTATATTGAAATGGAATTCTTTTGTTTCGAGGGGATAAATTTAGAGGATTTTCTGTAAATATTAAGATATTACTTTTTTCGGAGCCTAGGGAAATTTTATTTATTAGTAGGTACAGAATTTTCAAAAGTATAGATTGTCAAAAATTAGATTTAAAAAATTTTAAATTTTAAATTAGATTTGGATTAAAAAAATTTTTAAATTTGGACAGTGGAATAATGGATACTTGTTGAATGGCGTGAGTAGATATAATTGATCGAAATAATATTATTCTTTATGCGTTTTTGAAATTGCCCCTCTCTTTTTATTATCGTAATTTGGGGAAATTGCCCATAGCTTTGGGGCTAAATGAATCTCAATTAATTTTATGGATACCCCTAGCACTCGCAAGTCGTCGTTGTTCAGATAAGTCTATAGAATTGGAGAGGGGCGTAATGCGTGTTGAAATCGGAAGTGTGAAGGGCGATGAAGGGAAGAGGGGGAGGAGGTTTATATGGCAGCTGTCCACAAAGCATCGGAAACAACCCTTGGTTAGGTTTGAGGATATCCATTGGACCTCTCACATTGCCAACAAAACCCCATCTCTATACACACATGCACATTTCTCAGTTATGTTTCTTTTTCTCTCCTCTCTCACTCTTTCTTTTTCTCTCTTTTTCTCTCTTCTCGTTTAAATTCTCTCTCTTCTTTTTCTCCTTTTTTTTACTCCAGGGTTTCTACAAGTCACGAAAGTCATGGAAAACCTGGAAATCATGGAATTATCATGGGATTTAATTTTGATTCATGGAATCATGGAAATCTCATGGAATTTCTAATCGGATCGTGGAATTTTTTTAGTTTTTGTTATAAACCCTTGTGATTGAAATTCGCGCTCCTTTATTACTCAGGGTGGTCACAAGTTTCAGTTTATCAATTTCCCTGAAAATTTACTGACATTAAAATTACTTTCCCTGACAAAATTCTTTTTCCAGGAAAATTTGAAAGTTTACGGAAAATGAGTAAAATTTATGAATTTTAATAATTTCTAAAAATTACAATTATAACCCTTCCTGAAGTTAATTATTTTCTACAACTTTCAACTAAACTTCATCTCTGAATCAATTTAATTAATAATTTAAATAATTTTCCAAAAGTTCTTCTAGAATTCAATTATTTAAATTTTAAATACATAAACTCAATTTTTTATAATAATCATGTGACTCTTCATAGTTTTTTCTCAAGTTATTAAGGTATAATATTTTCAAAAAATTATAATAAAGGAATTCTTACAATTAATTTTTTTAAAATATTTTTAAATAATTTTTGAATGATAATAGTTTTTCAATATTGAAAAATTTCCAAACAATTAAAATTTGGTAAAATCTTTTAACAATAATTGAATTTTTGAAAAGTATGAATAAAAAGGAGCAAATTTTTGAAGAATTTTAATTATAAACAGGACCATGATTTCTCAAAAATTTTAATAAGTCCAAAAAGTAAATTTTGAATCTTAAAAAATTATTACAAAACAATTCTAATAATTATAGTTTTTAAAAATATTTTATTAATATGTAATATTTCGAAAATAATTGAATTTTAAAAAAGAATTTTTGTATAATTTAAAAAAACTATTGAATTTTTTAATGAATTTTAATTAAAAATTTTGAACATTATTGTTTTCTCCAAAATGTTAAAAATAATTCTAAAATGTTATTATTTTTGGAAATATGTAATTGAAAATATTAAAATCATTGAATTTTAAAAAATTAGAAGCTTATTTTCATTTTTAAATTTACCTTTAAAGATTTTTCATTAAAATTTTTGATTATTCAATTATTTTCAAAGTTTATAATTAAAATTCTTTAAAAGTTGATTTTCAAAAATTGTAACAAAATACTTGAAATAAATTAATTATGTTCAATTCAATTTGACTAAATTTTAACTATTAAAAAACAATTTTTGAAAGATTTGTTTATATTTATTTTTTGTATTTTTTGCATCAATTAAATTTTACTAAATTAATTTAGTTTTAAATTTAGTTATTAATTTAGTTTAATTCTAATATTTTTTGAAATAAGTTGGATTTTTTAATATTTATTTAATTCCTAATTATTTAATAATTAAAAATAATAATTCTGCACAAGCATTCAATTATTTTTATAAATAATCGAAATTTTACAAGAATTCAATTATTTGAAAATAGAATTTGCATTAATCTTTTTGAAAACAATCAATTATTTAAATATTTTTTATAAAATTTTTCGCAATAATTCAATTTATTTTCATAAATGAACTTTTTCAGAAATTATTAAAAACAATTGATTTAAAGAAGAATTTCAGTTAAAAATTCTGGAGAATAATAATTGAATTGAAATGATGAAAATAATTTTTGAAGAAGTTACAGTAACAATATTCTTATAATATAAAATAATGATTTTCACTCGGTCATCTTTAATTAATTATAAAACATGAAGAAATCGTTCACTCAGAGTCTTCGACTCGGAGCAATCGATATCTTCATGTTTTATAACAATATTTTTAAAGTTGTTTAATTTCAAAAAGGTTTGAATTTGTAATATTTTAATGTCTTAATTACTGTGGAAAAATAATAATAATATTAAATATTTATTTCAAAAAAATAAATTCAATTATTTTCAAAGTTTGCAATTAAAATTCTTCAAAAGTTAATTTTCAAAAATGGTAACAAAATACTTGAAATAAATTAATTATTTTCAATTAAATTTTACAAAATTTTAACTATTCAAAAACAATTTTTGAAAGATTTGTTTATAGTTATTTTTTGCATTATTAAAAAGGAAAATAAGTTGCACTTTTTTTACTAAAAATTGTAGTATTTTGTTGCAATGTTTGGAAGAAATGTCGAAAAAGTTGCAATTTTTGAAAATAAGTCGAAAAAGTCTCAATTTTCTTAATTTTCCGGACAAAAAATTTTTTTCATGACATTTACCTGACTTAACTATGACAAAAATTTTGTTTTAATGTGTCATGGAAATTTTATCATTTATCACCCGGAAATCATGGAAAAATCATGGAATTTTATAAGGAGAAATTTGTAGAAACCCTGTATTCTCTTTTTTCCCGTTCTCTCTCTGTTTCATTATCTCTCTTTCTTTTTCTCTCGTCTCTCCGTTTTACTCTCTCTTTTTTTTGCTGTACTTTTCTCTCCCTCCCTCCCTCTCTCTTTTTTTGCCACATCTCCCTTTCTTCCTCCCCCTCCTAAGCCTTTCGAGATTTATCGTTTACTCAAGATACACTACCCTGTCGATAG